AATAATTTATTTCTTTTATTTGTTTATGTTCAGGTTATTGAGATGCTGAAATTTTTCAAAGAATGGGAAAAATAGTCTGTGGTTAAATTATTTAATTTCTTAATTGCTATTTTTAGGTAAATCACTCAGCATTCAACAACAGTGAGCAATTGTGACTACTTTTTCATATGTCTCTAAAACCAAATTAATACTTCTTTTTATCTACCAAGATTTTAGAATATCTACTTAAAAAGCAATCATTTTTCATGGCCAACAGAGTTCAGGAGGAAAACATGTGTTGCTATCCACTTTACTTTGTTGGATGAATTTGTCAATTCCTTTTGGCTTGGAAGACAGGAACTAAAATTTCTCCTAATTTCTATTATTAAATGAATAGTCCACCACTATAAACTAGTGGAGCTCTCAAAATTTAGTTCAAAATAAATTTATAATTTTCTTCAGACAACATAGCTTTATGCTTTGATTAACAAAAATATTTTTAGAAAAATATATCCAAGATATTACTTTAGCAAAGCAGCTAACCATGATGGCACACTCCTCTAATGCCAGCTACTCAAGAGGCTGAGGCAGGACAATCACAAGTTTTGAGGCCATCCTGAGCAACTCAGAGAGGATCCCATATCAAAATTATGAAAAAAAGGGGCTGAGGATGTAGTTCAATATTTTCTGGGTTCACCGCCCCCCCCCAACACACAAAAAAGTTAAGCAAAGCAGGGCAGGAACACAGGGACAAGAAGGGGCAGTAAGAATAATTAAGATGTCTTATGTTATGTTCCAACTCTTCACAATGAATGTAGTCATTATGTACTGCAAACGTACAAATAAAAATAAATACTTTAATAAAACCTTTAAAAATGAGAAGTTAAATGTAAGTATCACTGGCAGTAGAATCTCTTGAAGAAGTTAATGGAATGAATTCACCCACAAAAGTAGAGGAATGAAATTTTATGAGAGTGTAATAATAATTTTGGGTAAACTAACACAAATAGGAAACTTCATCTTATGTTAATAAAATGTGCAAGTAAAACACTGGTAATTTTTGAAACCAAAAACATTTTTATTAACTTTTGATACATACAAGTGTGAAAGTTCAATTTGATTTGGAAAGCATCTACATAGAATAGCTGAGAGTTATCTTAAAAGTTTCCATATTTGTTCCTTACCTAAACAAATCCTCCTCAAGATTAGGAGTTCTACATACTGCCTATTATTACATTATTTTTAATAGTCATAAGACTTGACATAATCAGTTCTTCATACATACTAGCCTGA